GGGACTAAAGTCATGCACCATGGCCACCCGGCTAGGAGCCTCGCTCTGTTCACCAATACCCTCTCATAACAACCACATCCGGAACCAACTTTAACGAGGTCAGATGCAATTACATAATTGTACATTCTGCCTCCCTACCCACAACTTCTCTGCCACTATGTCCCCTTGTCACCCTGCCTTGTGAAGCCCGGCGTTGGGAATAGAACTTGAGGCCTCACACACCCCAGGCAAGCGACCTACCACTTAGCCTTCATTCAGTGAACCATCTTCATTGTCGTGAATATTGACATCCGTCTGAACCATATACAGGAGCCACCAGAGAAGCCACCTGTGATGTCCCACTCATCTTGCCTATTCCCAGTTGTAAGTATGCTTTCTAATGCTTATAACCTCTCAAAAATGTTGACTGAACAAGCAAGTCTTTGTATGTAAAAGTGAGCGTTACTAAATAACCAGTGTGTTTCCCGTCAGCTGTTAGAAAGATCTTTTCCAATGTGAGCTGCTTCTAGAATATTCTACTCTGCTCTAACCTTCTGTCTAATCCCAAGTCCTATACCATAATATTTGTACCTCCTGAACAGGAGTGGGGGGGGGTTGATCATTCTACCTCAATGTAAGCCCCAAGTAAGCTTGGTTTGGCTCACAGCTGCTTCCCTGTTCTAGGTGGACTAGGGCTTGATGCTCAGTAAGGCTCAATAAAGAGCTGGTAAGAATGGCTTCTAACTCTAAGCACGTTTCTATCTGATAGGTAAATTGCCAAGCAAGGCAAACACTTCCCCCTTCTTATCATCTTCTCCTATCTTCAACTAGAGCAGTGTAGCAACCTGAGGAGGTGGGCAGGCTTTGAAGTCGAGCAGTCTGGGTTTGAATTCTGACTCTTCCTTACTAGGTGGATGGCCTGAAGTGAGCGCTAAACATCTATGTGTTCCATTAACTCACATGGAAAATGAGGATAGGAATTTTTGCAATAGGATTTGCAGTTCGTTTGAAGTAAACATCAAATGCTTAGCATGGTGCCTGGCATAGCAATTACTGCTATATTGTTATAACCCTGTCAGTCTCAACTCTCCATGGCTCCGCTGTGGCTATAGCATAGAGTCTACTAAACTCAAATCCCAGATGGACAAGATGGCTTACCTGTAGCCTAATCAGTCTAGAGGCTGAGTCAGGAGGACCTTGGGTTCAAGGCCAGCTGGGGCCACTTAGCAAGTCCCTGTTTCAAATAAATGAATACATAAAGCTTCTGTCTCCTCAGTTTGGGCCCAGTGGCCCTCTCTTTCTGGCCTTCTCTTGCTATGCTCTCATGCTAACTCCCTTCACCAGCTGCTCTGTACCCGGGCTCTTCTGCAAAGCGCTGCATCTCTGCTAACTCGTTTGCCTTCTCTAGGATTCCTGCGAGCTAGGACTTCTTGCCCAGATTTACCTAATGATGAGACCAAGGCTCAGCAAGGAGAAAACACTTTCCCCGGGACACACAGGAAAGCTGGGTTCCATCCATGTTCTTATTCACCCTCCTCTGAAACCCTAACAGCAAAGGGCCTCACCTGTCAGGTAGCGTGGGAGTTAGAAGTGCAGATCCAAGACCTACCGAATTCCAACCCGTATTCCAACCAGATGATCCTTGCCTCAGTGATCGTTGGACATGCTAAAGTCTTTGAGCATCACTATAAACCACTTTCTGTCAGTCCAAGTATGACCTTGTTTAACCCCCAGGTCAAGAAAGGTCAGCACCATTACCCTGTTCCATGCAAGGCAGGCCACTCTTTAATGCTGCGGCTCTCCTTAACAATTACAGCCTCTCTTCCAACACGTCCCTTGGTTGTACCATGAAATTTCCTACTGCGCTCTTTTCCCTCCAAACTGTACCTTTTGTATTTCGTTCCGTCCTTTGTTTTTTGTCATTACAGACTTATATGAATGTTATCAGTAACAACCATTCCACAGACTCAACAATATGTTGTCGTAAAATTTCTTCCATCCCCAGCCGGAGAGATGGCTCAGTGGTTAAGAGCACTGATTGCTCTTTCAGAGGACAGAGGACAGGCACTTGGCAGTTCACAACTATCTGTAACTTCAGTCGCAGGGGTCCAGTACCCTCTCCTGACCTCCATAGGCATGTGTGCACATGGTACACAGAAATACAAGCAGGCAAAACACCCGTAGCCACAAAGTAATAAAATAATTTTACAAATATTTTTAAGAAATTTCCCATGACAAATAAATTAGCCGTTACTTTAAAGTTTAGGTTCAGACAAGTTCTTATGACGGGGCAGACGGTAGTCAGATTCTCTGCCGAAGTATTACAGAAATGGGCTATAGCCTGTTGCTAATGTTACCGTCTGAAATCTCTTGGGCTGGGCCTCTACCATCCTTACACCTCTCGGCCCTCTTGTCTTCCAGGCTCTTACTAGAACAGACCATTGAACTCTGCTTACAGCATTCAACTGCTTTTCTAGTCCAAAGTTGCCAAGTCTTCCACATTCCTCCAAAAATCAGCATGGCCAGGTTCTTTGCAGCCACAGCCTACTCTACATTACTTTCCTGTCTGATTGATAAAAATGCCGTGACACAGACAATTTACAGAAAAAAGAGTTTATTTTCTGTTTCAGGTATTCAGTTAAAGGTCCCGAGGGACGAGAATCCACTGTGGCAGGGACATGGGGCGGCAACGAGCAGGTCTGGCAGCCCGAGCAGGAAGCTGAGCGATCACATCTCAGCCACCACCACAGAGCAGAGAGAGCAAACTGGAGGTAGGGAGAGGCTCTGAGTTCTCAAAGTCCACCCCCAGGAATATACTTCCTCCAGCAAGGCTCTCTGTGTGCTTAGACTGAGATGTCCCCCAGAGCCTTGGGCATTTGAAGACTTTGTCCTCAGTTAATAGGCTTAGGAGGTGTGGCCTTGCTGGAGGAAATATGCCACTGGGGCAAGCTTTGAGAGTTTAAAGACTGCCATCATTTCTCGCTTGCTTTCTGTTTCGCATTTCCAGTTAAAGATATGAGCCCTCGGTGGCTTCCCGCTGCTGCTGCCACGCCTTTGCTCTGCCATCACGGACACTCACCTCTGGAACCAAAAGTTTCAAGTAAACTCTTGTCTTGGACATGGTGTCCTTTGTCACAGCAAAAGGAAAGTAACAATATATCATACCTCCTAAAGGTTCCATAGCTTCCCCAAACAGTGCCACCAACTGAGGACCAAGCATTTGAATATTTATATATAGGGGGCATTTCTCATTCAAACAATCACAGAAGTCCAAGATTTACCTTCAATTCATAGCAATCTTCCTGCCTCGGCCTCCCAAGTGCTGAGAATACAGACATGAGCCACCATGCCCAGATCTCTGGTTCATTCTCTTAGGAAATAGACACTGAGCTTGGCATGGTGGCATATGCCTATAATCCTAGCATCTGGGAGGGAGAGGCAGGAGGATCGAGAATTTAAAGCATGTCTCTTCTACCTACTATGCATTTGAGGCCCTGTGCTATCTGAGGCTCTGTCTCAAGAAAGAAAAAAATGAAATAAAATGCTGAGTGTGAATTGTGCCAGGTGCATAGTAAGCACTGAGTAAATGTTTATTGAATCAGGTTTTTCTTCGAGCACGTGACTGCTTTTCGTGGGGTTGGTGGTTTGCTTTTTGAAACAGGGTCTTATTACGTTGCTCAGGCTGACTTCTAACTCACCACCCTCCTACCTCGACTTCTCTGGTGCTGGGATGGCAGGTGTATGGCACCACACCTGGCTTGACTGCGTTTATTAAAGCACATTTGATACACTCAGGTTAGTTGTATTATTATCCTTGACTGTCCGTCCCTTCCTTCCACTGCCTCAAGCTCCTCTGTATTCTCTAAGCATAGGGTCTGGCATCTCACAGGGCCTCCAAAGCAAAGCAAATGCTGTCCCAGCTAAAAGTAGACTATGCCTATAGTACTTTCAGAGTGGGGTGTTACTGGAAGTAAAGCCTTCTGATTGTCAAGAGTGGAGAGGAACAAGTGAGGTGACAGCCACCTTTGCTGCTCACCATCCCCGATCTTAGACCATTGTCACAAACTCTGCAATCTATTTTTAATTAAAAAATTATCTTACATGTATGGGTGTTTTGCCTGCATTTTTATGTCTGTGCACCACCTGCATTCCTGGTGCCCGCAGAGGCCAGAAGAGGGTGTCAGATCCCCTGGGACCTGGAGTTAGTGACAGTTGTGTGCCACTGTGTAGGTGCTGGACATTAAACCCAGGTCCTCTGGAAGAGCATCCAGGGCACTTAACCATCTCTCTAGCCCATGAAGACAATCTAGTCACTCCTTTTTCCCTCAGACCATCAGTGGAGCTGTGGGGTGTAGATCAATGAAAACCCTTGCCTAGCTTGGCAAAGTACTGAGTTTTATCCCAAGTACAGAGGAGGGAGTGAGGGAAAGAGAGAAGACAGAGTCAGAGACAGAAAGACACAGAGACACAGACAGAGAGAGATGGAGGGAGAGCAAGGGAGTCCTTGACCCCCTCACACACACCCCCCAGGTTAAAACCAGGACCCCAACAACCCATGTCCTTTCACAGGAACAGAAAGAGCAAGGGAGGCCACATGTAGGAGAGGGACCTCTTAGACTGCAGAGAGCCTAGTCGTTCCCCCAGCATAGCCTCCCTTTTCTCTGGAGATATAGAAAAGCCTTTATTTCTAGGCCTCAATTTCCTCGTTTGTGAAATGAGGGGGTTGGACTCATTTCTAAAGCTCCTTCCAGCTCCGAGACGCTGTGCTACAAAATCAGAGAAATGTGAACCTTTGGTTGCTATGATCTGAAAATATTTTGAGTGTGGAGAATCAAAATTGTACAGCAGCACACGAACAAAATAATATGTTAATGACTAAGAAGATTGTATTTAATCCAATGGGAAACAGCAGAGCCTCTGGTGGTGCTGTGCACGCGTGTGTCTGTGCTCAGCTTCCTTCCTTGAGCTCAAACATATATTTTGAATCACTAATATAGTAATCAGGCCTCTGGCAGCCTATCAGGCCGAAACACACGCACACAACACTTCAAATTAAAATGAGGGGCAAATTCACTGCTGCCTGCTTACATCTTTTTTTGTTTGGGTGATTCTTTTAGAAGAAAAATTTTGTAGTGCCGGTGTTGAATTGACAGCCTCTGGAGGCCTCTGGTCTCAGAACTGGGACGCGTGGGCGGAGGAATAGGGATTTCATTAGCATCTTTCCTTTCCCACACCAACTGCCCCCTACACAGTCGACACGGTCTCACCCAATAGCATCCACACCCGGATCCTGAAGGCTGGAGGGGTCAGATTGCTAAACCCCGCAGGCATCCGGGCCAGAACGTGTGCTCTGGGCCCTGCCTGGGGAAAGATGAGCTTGAACCGGTGGAGCTGAGTCCAGGAGGGTGCCGGATGCGTAAAGGGTCAAGTCGCCGACCTTTCTTGCACCAAGGTGTTGTGGCTGGGAGGTGGGCGTGGCTCGCACGTGGCTCCGACTACGGCCCGGCTCCAAGTTCCCTTCCACTCCGGGGCTGGTGTCCCAACCAGGCTAGGTAGGCCAGAGTCGCACACGGCGTCGACGGGGTTGCCCCGAGGTCCCCACAAGCGTTGCAGAGGCGGCGGGCGTTCTCTGCCCGACGGCCGCGCCCGCACCGGGGCCCGCGCCGATTGGCCGGCTGGCGGTCGCTGGGCGGGTCGAGGCGGACCTCGCGGCCAGGTGAGGCGCCCCGCCCCTCGACCGCTCCAGGTGCAGCGGTGGGGACGGCAGGGTCCAAAGCCCGGGGTCCCCGGACAGGGCTGAGGCGCCATGGCCGAGTCCCAGCTGAGCTGCCTGGACGAGGCGCACGTGAACGAGAAGGTGACCGAGGCGCAGGCCGCCTTCTACTACTGCGAGCGGCGGCGGGCCGCGCTGGAGGCGCTGCTGGGTGGAGGCGAGCAGGCCTACCGCGAGCGGGTCAAGAAGGAGCGGCTGCGGGACTTCCTCTCCAGCAAGGAGCGCCAGGCCCTCCGCGCCGCCTGGAGCCCCTACGAGGAAGCCGCTGTCTCCAAGGCCAGTGGCAAGGCCAAGTCCAAGGCCCCGGCCGAGCCCAGCGAGTCCCTTGCCTATTGGCCAGACCGCTCGGACACCGAAGTGCCCCCGCTGGACCTGGGATGGACGGACTCCAGCTTCTACCGCGGCGTGAGCCGTGTCACGCTCTTCACCCACCCGCCCAAAGAGGAGAAGGCGCCGCACCTGAAACAGGTGGTCAGACAGATGATCCAGCAGGCCCAGAAGGTAGGCCTCGGCCCCAATCCTGCACCAGTGGGACACCCGCACCCCTCAACCCCACATGTACACCTGCTCTCGCTTCCTGGCCGCTCTTACTATCCTCCAGGAAATGGTCCCCAGCTCACCCTCACCTCGTGGAGCTGGGCTGAGACCTTTTGAAAGATGGATGTGAACATTTGTGGCAAATCACAAAGCGCTGGACGGATGTTAGTCATTCTTCCTACTGTGTCCGGAGGCGCCGGCGTTGTGTTCAAGCGCCTCTGTCCCAGCTTTCCCTCTTGGGCAGTGAGGAGGTTGTGAGGCCCTGTGTTAAACTGGTCTCTCAAAGGGCTTGATCATGACCTGTGCCCAGGGATTTATTTACAAGGTTTATCTTTGGCCATTTCCCTTTTTGATCTTCCCAGCCTCACGAAGCGGGTGGTTGGTGTTGATCTCCCTTACCCTCCACGTCAGGTGAACTTTTCTTGGGAACCCCTCTCCCCAAAACGACCACGTTCTCACATTCTCACCCTTTCCTGGGCTTGGTACTAGAGCCCAAGCAGGCTCGAATGAATGAGGAAAGTTATTTTGAGCTCGTTGTGGTTTGGCCCGGTCCTGGGAGCTCCCCACAAGGCAGGCACTGGACTCAGCGGCTCAGGAAGACGCTCCTCTTTAGCCCATCTGCTCTGCCTGGGTGTTAAAAGATGTTTCCCAGGAGCCTGATTAGCATCCCAGTTGGACAGCTGCCTGTGGGGTAGGTGAAAGACTTAGTCTTTTCCTCTGTGCCCTTGGGCACTTGGGTAGTTTCCAGGTAAAATGTGGGCTATTGCATTAAATCTGAACTTCAGTTAGTTCTTTAGTATCAGTTTATCCCAAATACTGCATGGGATACATTGATGCCAAACGTGGCTCTTTGTTTGCCTGGATTCAGATTTAATGGGACAGCCTATGCTTTTACTTGCCAAACACTGCGTGGTGATATTCTTTGATCACGGGTGTTTATTGTGTTGGGGTATCCGGCACATAGGGATGTCAAAGGATATCTTTGGGGAGTTGGTTCTCTCCGTCTGCCATGTGGGTTCTAGAAGTTGGATTCAGGTAGTCAAGCTTGGTGGCAAGACCTTTCACCACCTAGTCAACCCTTCACGGGGATTTTTTAAGCCACATCAACAGCCCTTGCTGTCCAGAGGCTTAGGTTCACTGTTGGTATTCAACTACACGAGTGTAATTAGAGCCATCTTTTTCCTGGAGGCCGAACAGGACAAAAGATGCTAGAAGGGCAGTGAGGGGCTCTTCTTCGTGGGAGTGACCTAGGCTTGGGCTAAGGTGGGTTGCTGTTGCCGGAGGAAGCTCTTCACTGCCCTGACTTCCACTTTGCTTCTAGAATAATTGCTCCTTGTCCGACTACACTGTGCTGAAGAAAAAGGCAAGGCTGGATACAAAGAAAAAAAAAGAAAAGGAAAAGGAATGGGTGGCAGTGCTGGGCAGCAGGCTGTAGCTGGGGTCAAAGGTCAGGACTCATGATGTATTATTACAGCTGGAGGGAGCTGTAATATTCACCAAACTTATTTACTTAGTGTTTGTGACACGTCACCCATTGCATTAGTGACTTTCTCATTTGCTTAAAAAAATATCCATTTATTGTTGTGTGTGTGTGTGTGTGTGTGTGTGCGTGAGAGAGAGAGAGAGAGAGAGAGAGAGAGAGAGAGAGAGAGAGAGGATAACTTGAAGGAATTTGTTTCTCCCTCTCTATGGGAGGTGAGTTGTAGGTTTGGAATGGCAGAGAGAAAAAAAAACCTGGGCAGTCTCTTGGTTGGAGCAGGAAGTAAGAGTGTTTTTTTTTTTTAATTACTATTATTTTGGCTTCAAAATACAAAGAAGTTTGACTGTTGGGAGCTGAGGAGTCTTTGCGACTTAGTAGGCTTTTGTCAGCACCTTCTTTCACAGTAAGGAAACTGAGGCACAGAAAAAGGGTAGCACTGAGGTTGTCAGCAAACGCTGTTTCCTCCTAAGTCATCTCACACTCTGGGCCCTTGTTTTTCACCACCCCTAGATGGGACAGACGTTTCCCTTGTCTTTGGAGAAAAAGAAATCAAGATGCAGGACAGTTAAGTTTGTTGCCTAACTTAGTAAACAGCAGAGCTAGAATCCATACACCGAAGCCCTTGCTCTAAACCAGTGTGCCTCCCTGACCTGCTGTCCTTTGTCACGCTGTGTCAGGATTCTGCAAGGAGTCTGAGGGGATCTAGTACGGTCACAAGCTATGGTATCCATCATGTGCCCCTCTTAGAAGATGGCAGACACAAGGCCCTCCCTGCTCCACTGCAGCTTCTATGGCAGGTCTGTCCAGTATTGTGGGGCTTTCTTAACTCTTTAAATAAATATTTAGCAGAATCTTTTGCCGTTGTGAACCAGTCCTGTGTGTGCAGATTGACCTGATACTTATTTCCAGGATGTCTGCTGTGTACCAGGCACTAGCCTTAAATAGCCAAGCTGTGGACTTTTTTTTTTTCCCCCTTCATGCATTTGCTTAAATGCCAAGGCTGTGCTTGAAAGAAAAGGAAGTTTTGAGGTTGTACTTAGGAAGGCGCCTGTGGGAGGTAGGTTGCAGGTTTAGAGGGGGTGACTGAGCCGGAAATGAGAGATTACTTGTGCTTTAATGCAAAAAAGTTTGATTGGAGGGAGCTGAAGTAGACTGTGAGGCTTGATCGGGCTGTGTACTGTGCCCTCTTTTACAGATAAGGAAACTGAGGCACAGAGCAGAAAAGAAATTTAGTTATAGAAAGACCAAGATCTCTACCTTTTACTCAAGATATGGCACATCCTGGCCACTGCCTGGCCCTGCCTCTGGCTCATCCCACTGGTGAGCACATTTCCCTGGCAATCAAATGAGATTCTCCTCCCTGTTCACCCTGAGGGAGGGAGTTTCCCTGGTTTCCAGGGAGTGTCTGGTTGCCTTGAGGCTGGGTTAGACTGCTGAAATCCCATGGCCTCGGTGGGAAGGCAATCCACCTGGGTGCCAGGGTTTGGGGGTTTTATTTCATTTAATCTTTAGAATAATCTTACACGATGCTATTATTTTTGTTCCCGAAGACAAATAGGAACAAGCGAGCTGCCGTAACTTTTTCTCAGGGAAAGAGAAGGAGCCTAATTAGGGAACACTTTGAAAACACAATTTTGGCTTGGGGAGGTGTGGAAGCCAGTGAGGACTTGGGTCAGTTTGGAGGTGGTATCTGGTCATAAAAGAAAAACCTCTGAGGAGTTACATGTTAAGTAGTCACTCTCTGAGCTTCTGCAAATGGCAAGTTACTCTAGTACCCAGCATTCAAAGATCCAGCCATGCTTGCTTGTGGGGTGGGGTTTTCTGTTGTTGTCTTTCCACCCTGAGAGATCTGCTTATTTTAGGGTCATTAATGATTTTCTTTGTCTACTTGAAATCCAAGCCTTTTAGAAATCCTAGCCTGTGCCACACTAACAAGGACGACCAGGGCCAGCTGCTGGGCTTGGGCAGCTTAGACCTGTGGAACGGCCAGGGAGCATCTGTCAGCAAGACATCTCTGGAAGCTGGGAAGCCAGAGGAAGAGGAACAAGCAACCTTGGTCCTGCTGGGCTTGTATCCCTTTGATCTTGGAGGGATGAGTGAGACACACTGCCACTCTTCAGTAGCCTGCTAATCCATCCTTATAATTCAGTATGACAAATCCTTCAGGGAAGGTGTGGCAGGAGAGACACTAGTCCCGCCCATAAGCCAGGTTAGGGAAGGCTCTTTGAAGCTGTCTGAACATCCGACCTAGCAGGAAGGGTGAGAAGGTACCAAGCCTCTGCCTGTCCTTATGACCAGTGGCATCCATTTGACTCCTGACTCCTGTATTCCCGGGTCCTGCATTCCAAACGCACCAGCTATGCAGCTCTTCCCTCTTCTCTGTGAGCTGCTTGATTTCCTTGGCACTGGAAGGCTGATCATTGTCCTCGTGTCACAGAGGAACCCTAAGGTCCCAAGAATGAAGTAACGTTTTTAGACCAAGGCCAAGAGGATTTGGAGAGAGCCTCCAAAGCACAAGGTGTGGTAGATACAGCAGCTTTGACCAGACATCTGGGCAAGTGGTGGGAGGCAAAGGTAAACAGCGGGGATGCAGTGCCCAAGGAATATAGTAAGTCTTGGAGTCACCAATTCATGTTACCAAGAGACCTGGTTATTCAGGTGGCAGTCTGTATTCTAAAGCTCCCTGTCTTTTCCCATGAACATCAGTCACCAGCCACATCCAGCAAATTGTACCAAGTCTAGTGCCTTCTCTGCCCAGGTCCTGTGCTAGCCATCAGCACACAGAGAAGAAGATGCTGTCACTCCCTCGGGGAGTTAGGACTGTGTTAAAGCACTTGCCAGACAATTATGAAGACCAGAGTTCAGATGACCAGAACCCCTGTAAAAGCTGAGTGACCGTGGTGGCCTACCTGTAATTTCAACCAAAGACGGTAGAGACAGGTGATCCCTAGAACATGAAGGTTAGCGAGACTAACGTATTGACAAGCTCTGGGTTCACTTGAGAGACCTTGCCTCAATGAATAAGGTGGAAGAGCTGTCAAGAATGCTCCCCAACACCAACCTCCACATGCATGTGCACTCACATACATGTCAGTATACATGCATATCACACCACATTCCTGAAAAGGGGAGAAAGGCTTACATAATGTTTTTAAATTTTACTGGCTGATAAAATTGTAGAGTCAGGTAATAATGCTCACTCATACCATAACCATCTTGCTGAAGAGCTGGTTCTATTTCTAGCTCCTTTTGTCTCATCCTGTTCCCTTTCCACCTCAGAGGGGCAGTTGATAGGAGATTCTGATGTCCCCCTGTCCACCCTCAAGACAACCAGGTCTCCCTATGTAGCCCAGGTTGACCTGGAGTTTACTACATAATACAAACTGTCCTTGAGCCTGCAACGATCCTCCACATCAGCCTCCTAAGTACTAGGATTATAGGCATGTGCCCCAGCTTGAGCTGCTCTTAGAAGAAGCTAAGTTAA